ATCACTGCAGATGGTGATTGCAGCCATGAAATTAAAAGACACTTACTCCTTGGAAGGAAAGTTATGACCAACCTAGATAGCATATTAAAAAGCAGAGACATTACTTTGCCAACAAAGGTCCATCTGGTCAAGGCTATGGTTTTTCCAGTGGTCATGTATGGATGTGAGAGTTGGACTGTGAAGAAAGCTGAGCGCCCGAAAAATTGATGCTTTTGAAAGGTGATGTTGGAGAAGACTCTTGAGAGTCCCTTGGACTGCAAGGAGATCCAACCATTCCATCCTAAAGGAGATCAGTCATGGGTGTTCACTGAAAGGACTGATGCTGAAGCTGAAACTCCTATACTTTGGCCACCTCATGCGAAGAGTTGACTCATTGGAAAAGACCCTGATGCTTGGAGGGTTTGGGGGCAGGAGGAGAAGGGGACGACAGAGGATGAGATGGCTGGATGGCATCAGTGACTCGATGGGCATGAGTTTGAGTAAACTCCGAGAGTTTGTGATGGACAGGAACGCCTAGCGTGGTGTGATTCATGGGGTCGCAAAGAGTCAGACACGACTGAGCGACTGAACTGAACTGAAGTGAACTGATTCTGACTTTATCCTCAGACACTGTTTAGCTCCAGGCTAAATAGTGACAAGATTGCTAGGGCAGCTCTAGCTTACATTTTCTCAGGTTCAAGTCCAGCTCCAAAGAGATCTTTTACAGTAGTTTCTGAATGAGTCTGGAAATGTGTTCCAGTTGGACCAGTTTAGGTCACGTGCTCATTGTGACAGAGGAATCACTGTGGACAGAGGGATATGCAGCATATTCAGTGGCTTACGCTTCATCATGCATTCTGTCCTTAGAACCAAGGGAAGGGGGCTCACTGGGGAGGGGGCAGACCTGCAGTGGGAGTCAGGAGCTATTGTTGGAGGAGGCAAAATGAATTCTAGGGAGGTAATCCACAGCTGTGTATGTTCTATTATTAGCATAATTATTTTTAAGCTACCATTATTTATACTGTCGGTTTAGTCCCTAGTGCCTGGCACAGTAGCTGCATAATCCACGTTGAAGGAATGAGTTCTTTACTAGTGACAAACATGACGTCAGCCACCAGTCAGACGAGACAGGGCTGCTGAGAGTCAGGGGCATAAGTGAAGAGAACATTCTTCCCTTGAAGCATCAATAGTGTATCAGACTTTAAAGCAGTTCTTCAGATCTTTGTCATTATATTGTTTTGATTACATAGGCAGCATTTGCACATGTTATAAAGTGAAGTACATGGTATATTGCTATATTTATATAGCGATGAATGGTTTTAAGTCTCTCCCTAAGTGAGTGAGTCTGATACACTTCACTTTCAGCCAGGTTGAAATGCATCCAAAACGTGCTTGCAGATGTTGCAAAGGCACCTCCATTCTGCTGCCTCCCTGTCTGAGCAAATGCCTTCCCACCCCTTGGATGGGGGAGGGCGGAGGCAGAAGAGAGAGGAGGAAATTGCCAAGTCAGCTTCAGCAGTGCAGAGGGATGGTTCTTTCTTTTGCATCTTTCCACTCCTACTGCTTGCTTTTTCTACCCTCTAAGCAGAGAAAGGCAGGACCAAGACTTTTGGTGGAGGACAGGACACAGAAGATTATGTAACAATTTCTAAATTCTCCCAAGAGTGGTACTGAAAATGACATATAGCTAGTACCATTCTGTATGCATAGAGATGAGGTAATTCATTACTAGCACCATTGTGTATGCATAGAACAGAATTCTTTCATTACATATAATGCATGTTTTAGAGCAGTAGAGAATAATTCTCTCATAGAACTCTGCTTGAGAAAGGCTGAGTTAGATCTTGGTAAATCATCATCTTTGTTTTATTTGAGCCCCCTATTGTCTGTTAAAGAAAAGGAGGTTCATTATTTCTCTGGCCATGAACAAGAATGCAAACTGGGAACTGCTAAGTACACACACATAGACACATGTATATATGTGTGCACATAGAGTATATAGGTACAATCCATATCGTGTTCAATATATATATATATAACATATATAATATATATCCAGTATCCAATATCCATTATACATTTCAAAATATATGAGTATATGTATGTAATGTGTATACATACATGTGCACACACACGCGAGGTTCTTTTTCCACCTTGGGAAGGAAGGAGCAGTATGGCATCCTGAGTGTGAAGGAGGGAAAACCCCTCCTCAGTACCCAGGGCTCCCCTTCAGAGATGCAGAAATTGCTGTTGAGGAGCCTCCCAGTGGCCCAGTGTTAGCAGGAACCTTCACCCCGCCCCGCCCGTGGACCCCCAGGTCTGCTCTGCGAAGGGCGGGTGTCTTCCCCTGGACAGCACTGTGTGGGCGCCCTGGGCTTTGGTCGCTGTGGTCATGTCTCTGCTTGCTGAGGACAGCCGAGTGAGTCTTGTGGAGAAGCACCGTTCCTGTTGCCTCCTTTCTGCCCCACACGGCAGCACTTCTGGGGGAAGAGGCCCCTCCCTTCTGCAGGAGGCTCAGCTTCGTCCCTGCCTTGCCCTTTTCCATGAAGTAAATGAAAAGATTCTTCTGACACATCTGTCTTCAATTTCAGTGCCTGGAATAAGAGCTCCGAAGAAGGGTATAGAACCGTGAGCCTTCTGACAGAGTTACAGGCAGTGTCAGAACTGTGGGGCAGAGACAGAGGGGGCCTTCTGTGCCCTTGGTCATGGCCCCGAGCAGCAGCAAGCCCAGAGACTATGAAAGGCACAGCCATAACCCAGGTCAGGGATCCAGATGCAGCATCTAGGGTTAGAAGGAGCCTCCTGTCTTTTCTATGAAGCATGTAAAGTAAAGATCCTTTTTCGGTATGCACAGACCACATAAGAGTTGAATACCTTCAGTTTGGCATAATGCTTTTCATCTCGCTACTTCAAAACACTTCTTTGGAGAGAATTTCTAAACAGAGAAATGAGAAGAAAATTGAAGCTTTATTGTCATAGCCTAACTCTGATTTTATAACATACTGAGCAGGAACAGTCTGTCATGTCACTTAATATCCCAGTGCTTTTTTCCCCTTCTCTCTCCACTGACTGCTTCTCCGGGGTAATATAACAAGATCCAGTGGAGGATTTCATCAATCAGGGCTACATTATGAAATTTTGACTCACTGAAGGCAATTTGGTGGGCAACTTTTCAAAGCTGATTTTTCATTAGAAAGACGATGGGAAGTTGGGGATGAAGTGGGAACAAAACAACCTGGCAAGGATATGTATCACAGCTGTTAACTCAGACAGTGAGTCATCTGGGTTCGCCTCAGCTTTTCTCTGTGGAAGCTTCCCTGCCTGCGGACTCTGCTGCCTTTTTGTATTTGTAAAGTGCAAATAGGTTTTAAAACATTATTCTGATAAAGGCTGGATTCACTTTATTCTTGTTGCCTAAGGGCTGACCTAAGGATTGGACGTAGGAGTGGATTTCATTAATAAAAACTGTTCAAATATTTCATGATTTAAGTATTTATTTAATCCTTCATTTTTAATTAAAATTCAACTGCCCTGTTTCACATAGCCTTAGCCTAGGAAAAAGTAAAGTTTACCTTTTATTCTGGCAGCATTAGTGTGAAATATTTGCTTCATCACAAAATAAACTGAAAGAGCAATTTGAAATCAGGTCAAATAAAATAAAAAGTCAGCTTGGATAATAGTCTTTTCCTCTATCCTTGCATTCTATTCCTGCAGGGTTAAATTTTTCATAAGAGAAAAAAAATGTAGCAACAAAGAAAAAGGGCAAGAAATGAAAATAATGAAAACAGATTACTATGAAATTGTGTAGAACTTTCTATGACCAAATTACTGCTGGTGACAAGTGTATATGTATGGAAATACTGCACTTATGTCTTCATTAATTTGTTAAATATAAAGTACCCAGTGTGCAACAGCTATAGAAGTGATTTTAGAAGGTCATGCTTCATAAACTCAAATGGCCAAGAAATATAGATGAGTGATTGTGACCAAAGCAGTAGGGTTGACCAGGCAAACAGAAAATGCTTATTCAGTTTAAAACATTCATAATGAATTTAAAGATTACTCAGGACCTGCTGTGGTCTTTTAATTTTCCATCCCTGGATCATGGAAGAGAAAGTCAACTCTTACAGAAAATCTGTTATTTAGTTCTATTTATATTGAACCTTGCAGCTTTCCCTGGTGGCTCAGAAGGTTAAGAATCCACATGCAGTGTGGGAGACATGGGTTCAGTCTCTGGGGAAGGGAATAGCTACCCACTGCAGTATTCTTGCCTGGAGAATTCCGTGGACAGAGGAGCCTGGCAGGCTACAGTAGTCCATAGGGTCACAAAGAGTTGGACACGGCTAAGCAACTTTCATTGAAGAATGAGTAAAACTCGCCCCCCACCACCACCACCAAAAAAGAAGAAGAGCAGGAAAGGGCATCCTAACCTGAGACGTCTCACAAGCACAAGCCTAACCGGCAGGGGAAAAGAGCCTTTGTGGGTAGGATGAGGTCTTGAACGCCTGTGTGAGGAGTTTGAACTTTATTTATTGTGTGTAGAATAGAATTTTTAGATCTGCTCCAAGTATCTCCTTTTCCCAGGTACCATGCTCAGAAATGTGGCTACCATTCCACCTGTCACTCTGGCTCAAACCTAAGAGCTACCATTTTTTACTTTCTTTTTCTCTCAGACCCCAGGGACAGAGTCATGTTTTGTGGAAATGAATCTCATAAATTGGTGATGGGTTCTCTTCAAGAGAAAGGCAATATAGCCAGGTGCAAATATGAGTATTTTGGATGGTCTGTGCAAGTGGCAGGAAACCCACTTCTGTAGAATTTATATCAAAACCATCATTGGAATCTGCTGTCTCTATCTTGAAAAATACGTGTCCAAACCCAATTGCTTCTCCTGACGTCTACCACTTCTTCTCCAGACCAAGCAGCCGTCAGCTCTGGTATTTGTTGTTGTTGCTGAGTCACTCAGTGTTGTCTGACTCTTTGTGGCCCCATGGACTGCAGCATGTCAGGATTCCCTGTCCTTCACTGTCTCCCAGAGTTTGCTCAAACTCATGCCCATTGAGTCAGTGATGCCATCCAACCATCTCATCCTCTGTCGCTCTTTTCTCCTCCGACCCTCAATGTTTCCCGGCATCAGGCTCTTTTCTGATGAGTCAGCTCTTTGCATCAGGTGGCCATAGAACCCTACAATTCTGCCCCCCTAACTCGTCCCCCTGCTGACTCTCTTGCCCTGCTGCAGTCTATTCCAGACGCATCAGGCAGAATGTTCTTTTTAAAGTCTAGAGAAGATCACGTCATCTCTTTCCTGAAGATCCTTCAGTGACTATCTCCTGTACACAGCGTAAAATCCGGAGTCCTTCCTCTGGGTTTCGGGGTTCTAGTGGATAGCCTCTGCGTCCTTCTGGGGCAACACCTTCTGCCACGCTCCCCACTGATCACTGCAACTGCACTGGCTTCCTGGCTGTTCCTTTAACAAGTCAACCACTCCACTGCCTCAGGGCCTGCGTATTTGTTTTTCCCTGTGCTTGGATCACCCTTCCCATAAATGTTTTCACATCCCTCCCATCATTTAATGTAACCTTAGCTAGAATGTCACCTTCTGGTCGCCCTGTGTAAATGTACCACTCTTTAACCTCTACCCCTTTGCTCTCGCTTTATGGTCTTTATCACTGAGTACTTTATTACTGATTCTTCATGTTATCGTCTGTTGTCCCCACTGCATGTAAACTCCGTGAAGGCAGAAATTTTATCTGTTTTCCCAAAGCCTAACAAAGTACCTGCCGCAGAGAATAGTGTAAAGCCTTCTCTGGAGATAGATGGGATTCTTCAAAGCCTCCATGATTTTTCAAACCCAGCATTTCCTTTTAAAAAAAATTCCAGGGATACCAAGAAGGAGGGCCAAAAGAAAAGAAATAGAAAGTGGAAAGATACCTTTAGGTGACCCACTTATTGAAATTATCAGGCACAAACTCTATATTAATTAATACCTTTTTAAAAAGCCAGATTAAACATATGAGACATAATGAAGAGACAGATGCAATATGCTAAAAAGATCTAACATGAATGCAGTGGGACTTCTAGGGAAAAAAAGAAGAAATAGGCTAAAAATAATATTTGAAAAAATAATGGCCAAGAATCGTTCAAAAGTCATTAAAAAAAAAAAAAAACACCTTGCCACGAATTCAATCAGTTCTCCAAGCCCCTAAAGGGTTAGTGTTAGTCGCTTAGTCGTGTCCAGCTCTTTGCGACCCCGTGGATTGTAGCCCACCAGGCTTCTCTGTCCATGCGATTCTCCAGCAAGGATACCGGAGTGGGTTTCCATGCCCTTCTCCAGGGGACCTTCCCGACCCACAGATCGAACCAGGTCTGCTGCACTGCAGGCTGATTCTTTGCCGTCTGAACCACCACCCTAAAGGGATAAATACAGAGCAGACCACAATGAGGCACATCATTGTAACACTGCTAAAGGTGACAAAGAGAATACCTTAAAGAAGGAGGAGAAGGGGAAAGGGAAAAAAGGAAAGGGGAAAAGAAAGAAAAAAAGAAAAAGAAAGTAAAAAAAAAAGCCCCCCCCTCAAAAAAAACAAAAAAACGAAAAAATAAGGTAAGTGGAAAAACGGGCAAAAAAAAAAACGGGGCCAGCAAAAAGCAAGGGGAACGCAACCTTAAAAGGCCAAAAAGAAAGAACTGGGCCCCAGCAACCCAAGCCGGGCCCAACCCCCGGGAACCCGGGGAACAAGGCCCGCCAAGCCCCCCCGGCCAAGGGAATCCCCAAGCAAAGAAAACGGAAGGGGATGCCAATTCCCTCAACAAGAAAAAAAAAAAAGTAACAAAAAGGAAAAATAAGGTGCCCTTGCCGAACCAAAAAAAAGGAGGTGATAACCTCCCTGTGATCGTCTCAGTGTGGAAACCAGGTCTTCCCAGGCCTGCTACCAACTCTGGCACGCTCGCTTGCTCTACCCAGAGCTCGCCTCGGGGCTCCCATCCAGGCCCCGCGCCCTCCGCACACCCCCACCCCCAGTTGCTGTCCTGTGCCCTCGCCTGCACTCCTTAGCGTTGCTTCCTGCTTGCCCAGCGACTGCAGACCAGCTCCAGGCTGGGAAAACCAGTGCCCCTCTCGACCATCCAGTGGTCCGAGTTATGCCTCCCACCGGGTCTGAACGCCTGTGTTTGTCCTTTCTTGAGAATTCTCTCAAATTCTCAAATAATCTCCAAATCTCTCAAATTCTCAAACAAGGGTGCCATCTAGAATTTCCTTATACTTTATAGTCACTCTTATCAGGGTGTAGTAATTCTTTATTGTCTGTTAATGTTATTAAGCATCTACTGTTTAAACCACTGATTGAACTCAGATTAATACAAAAGACTATGTCAAAATGATAAAGGGCCATTTCACCAAAGACACAGAGCAAATTCTAAATTTGAATTCAGCTAATAATACAAATTACACAAAACAAAAATGGACATAACCAAACAGAGAAGTGAATTAATGTATCAGCATAGAAATTTAATATCTTGCAGTAATTGATAGAAAAAAGCAGAAGA